TACCTTTCCTACAACAAATACCTAGAGCTGACCACCAACTCTTTCACCTCAGTTCCAAGCCTTCAAAGACTGATGCTCCGAAGGGTGGCCCTGAAACATGTGGATAGCTCCCCTTCGCCTTTTCACCCTCTTCTGAACCTGGTCATTCTGGATCTAAGCAACAACAACATTGCCAACATAAATGATGAATTGTTGAAGGGTCTTGAGAAACTAGAAATTCTGGATTTGCAGCATAACAACTTAGCTCGGCTCTGGAAGCATGCCAACCCTGGTGGTCCTGTTCAGTTTCTAAAAGGTCTTTCTCGCCTCCACATCCTTAACTTAGAGTCTAATGGCTTTGATGAGATCCCAGTGGAAGCCTTCAAGGACTTACGTGAATTGAAGAGTATTGATTTAGGAATGAATAATTTAAATATCCTTCCACAATCTGTATTTGATAATCAAGTGTCACTAAAGTCATTACGCCTTCAGAAGAACCTCATAACATCTGTTGAAAAGACTGTTTTTGGGCTAGCATTCAGGAACCTGAATTATTTAGATATGAGTTTTAATCCATTTGATTGTACCTGTGAAAGCATTGCCTGGTTTGTTAATTGGATTAATAGTACCCACAGCAACATCTCTGAACTAAGGAACCATTACCTCTGCAACACTCCGCCTCAGTACCATGGTTTCCCAGTAGTGCTTTTCGATGTATCGGCCTGCAAAGACAGTGCCCCATTTGAACTCCTTTTCATGATTAGCACCAATATCCTTTTGATTTTTATCTTTATTGTACTGCTCATCCATTTTGAAGGCTGGAGGATATCTTTTTATTGGAATGTTTCAGTGCATCGAGTTCTCGGTTTCAAAGAAATAGACAGAGCAGAGCAGTTTGAATATGCAGCATATATAATTCACGCCTATAAAGATAGGGATTGGGTCTGGAAGCACTTCTCCCCAATGGAAGAAGAAGATCATACTCTCAGATTTTGTTTGGAAGAAAGGGACTTTGAGGCAGGTGTCTTTGAACTTGAAGCAATTGTGAACAGCATCAGAAGGAGCAGAAAAATTATTTTTATTATAACACAGAATCTATTGAAAGATGCATTATGCAAAAGGTGGGTGAACACTATGACATTTGAAATGTACTCTTATCTTTAAATTGAGCTTTTGGTTTTTTTAAATTTTTTAAATTTATTTTATTGATTTGGCTGTGTCCTCTTAGTTGTGGCACTTGAGATTGTCCATGCATCATGGGGTGCATCGGCTCTCTAGTTGTGATCCATGGGCTCAGCAGTTGGCAGCATGCAGGCCTAGTTTCTCCACAGCATGTGGGATCCTCGCTCCCCTGTGCATGCTTGCTCAGTCACTTCAGGCATGTCCGACTCTTTAGTTCCCCCACCAGGGATCAAACCCATGTCCACTGCATTGGCAGGTGGGGTCTTTACCACTGAGCCACCAGGGAAGCCTCGGGACCACCAGAAAGTGAAAGTGAAAGTCGCTCAGTCGTGTCTGCCCATTTGTGACCCCATGGACTATACAGTCCATGGAATTCTCCAGGCCAGAATTCTGGAGTGGGTAGCCATTCCTTCTCCAGGGGATCTTCCCAACCCAGGGATCACACCCAGGTGTCCCGCATCGCAGGTGGGTACTCTACCAGCTGAGCCACAAGGGAAGCCCCTGAACCACCAGGAAAGCCCCTGAATCCAGCTTTTAAATATTACTAACATTATTACTCACAACTCAAAGTATTTTAAAAATAAAATTAAGAAGAAACATAACCTGGGTTTTAGCGACAAGTCTAAAGTTAATTACAAGGAGAATGTTAGATTTTAGAGCTTTGGCCGGTTAAAAACTGTGTATTGATATATGACAATGTTTTTAACTTAGATTCAAGGTTCACCACGCAGTTCAGCAAGCTATTGAACAAAACCTGGATTCCATTATATTGATCTTTCTTGAGGAGATTCCGGATTATAAATTGAACCATGCACTCTGTCTGCGAAGAGGGATGTTTAAATCTCATTGCATTTTGAACTGGCCGGTTCAGAAAGAACGGGTAAATGCTTTTTATCATAAATTGAAAGTAGCACTTGGGTCCAGAAATTCAGTACATTAAATTTATTTAAAGACTAAATTAAAGGAGTAAGTTTCCTAATTTTAAAAAGTTCCATGGTAAATTTACATTTTCCTTGACAATAGCATAAATCTGTTCGTTCATATTCATAAGTAAGAATATCACCACTATGTCTCTTATATGGAAATATGTCTCCCTATTTCAGGCCTTTTATAACCATTTGACATAATCTGACCCAAAATAAACATATAAGAATATCTTTTACTAACAAACACACAGTTAGGTTACTGAGGCCTATGAAAACAGTTTTGAAATAGTCCTCGGTTTAAAGAAAAGTTAGAGGTATATGAGGGTTTGTGATAATTATATTTGTTATTTCTTTTTCTGGATGCACTCAGAATAAAATATGACTTTTAATGGGTACAATGCTATTTCAGTTGTGAAAGGGTAAAATGTACACCCATATTTTTAAAAGTTTAATTACAGCAATTTTTTAACTGCAAACTTTGTGTTTTAGTGGTGCCTGTTGCAGTCTTGATTTTATTAAATGTTAAATGCCATTTTAGTAAACGTGTGTGTGCTCAGTTGCTGAGTTGGTGTCTGACTCTTTTCGACCCTGTGGCTGGGTACTTCATCAGTCCATGGGGTTTCCCGGGCAAGAATATTGAAGTGAGTTGCCATTTCCTTCTCCAGGGGATCTTCCCGACCCAGGGAACAAACCCATGTCTCTTGTACCTCCTGACTTGGCAGGCAGATTCTTTACTACTGTGCCACCTGGGAATCCCATACATGCAGGACAAAAAACATTTATTCTTCATTTTGATTACTTAATAAAATAAATATTTTAATGAATACTTATGTTTCCTGATATTTGGAATTCTGAGGCATAAGAAGAAACAATTCTTTTACTTACAAGTGTTTCAGGAAGGCTTACTTCCCGAAGGTTAATTAGTAGATTGGTTTTGTGGAAACAAAATATTGTCTTACCCTGGTCACAGACTCGGGAGATGGCATGGGCCAATTCACTTGGTTCCACTGGGATTTTCTGCATGCCAGTCTTGAAAATTATAGTGATTAACAAAATCTTAACTATTCCTACCTTACTCATTTGAAAAGACCCTGATGCTGGGAAAGATTGAAGGCAGGAGGAGAAGGGGATGACAGAGGATGACATGGTTGAATGGCATCACTGACTCAATGGACAAGAGTTTGAGTAAACTCCAGGAGATGGTGATGGACAGGGAGGCCTGGCATGCTGCAGTCCATGGGGTTGCAAAGAGTTGGACACAACAGAGCTATTGAACTGAACTGAACTATTCCTACATCATTAGTGATGATGATTGTGGTATAATATATTCACATAGACTATATTATTATAACCATTTAAAAAGTATCCTGTGTATAAATTACTCCTTATGATTATTTTGTTTTACTTTCATTGTATAGTTTAAAAAGGGTCTAATTATTGGAAATAGA